AGTTAATGCACTTTTCACTCACGAACTCGTGCGATATGCATACATATGTTTACATTACCAACCGGCAGCTGGTGATCGTGGTTCAATGGCTCGTTGTTTCGCTCTCTTAGCTTCCACTCTCTAGTTGAATTTAATAGGGGTATTCTCTGAGTCTTGCAAGGCCCTTGCACGGTGCACGGATTGCACGGTTTGCAAAGCTGTCCCATACGAAAACCGGTTTTTGCCGTGCAATCCGTGCAATCTGTGCACCATGCAAGGGCTTTGCAAGACTCAGAGAATACCCCTAATATTTTGTTTCTGTAGCCGGCAAAACCGGTATTCGGTGTACTCGGACGCATAACACCCAGCGCTTTTCTACACATACAGATATCTTTAAATTTAAGGCATGAAAGGAGAGAAGTAGGTTACACGACCCATATGTACGTAAGTTGGCTCAATTGCGAAACTTTACAATTGGCGTATTTGCTCTGCACTCTTTGCATTCCAGTTTTGCCACTTAACAACCATCGGTACTCACAAATTTTCATTATTTTATATGTGCTCTTGATAACAGCTTATGACTTTTGCTGAATGCTATTTAGTCTGCACATAAACGCCGTTGCGAATGAGTTCAACTTAGCAACAAAGTGCAATAATAAAGACAACACATCAACACCTATCGCCAAATGTCAAGTAAGTACACCTATCCTATTTAGTAATATTTATGTATAATAAGCACTTATGTACATATGTATGTAGGAGCATCCAGCACACTTACCTACAGTGTTGCCATCGGTGTGGGTGTAACACTCGCATCTGGCCTGGGTTACTGGTCATACCTGCAATGGAAGAAACGCAACGCAGTGCCTGAAAAATGGCGTCGTATTGGTACTTTGGACCAAATCAATTTATACCCCATTAAGTCGTGTGCACCGTTAACACTAGATGCCAACGCAGCCTTTGCGTGCGATATGCTTGGCTTGATGCTTAATGGATGCCGCGATCGCGCACTAATGGTGATCAACGCTTCAAATGAAATGATCACCGCGCGCGTTTATCCACGCATGGTATTGATTGCTACAAAGTTGGTTGGATCACAACGGCTGCAATTGAGCGCACCTGGCATGGAGCCGATCGAGTTGGATTTGGGCGCTTTGAAAGCAGAGGGTGAGCAAATAAGAACAATGGTGTGGAGCACCCCCGTGTACGTGCGACCAGTCGGAGCTAAATATGACAAATGGTTATCCAATTATCTACTGAATAAGGGGAGTGGTATGCGACTGGCTCACTATCCATTGGAGAAACCCGTGAAGGCGATCAATTCACGCATGTCGCGTCAGCCATTCATTTTAAAGGAGGATCGTGTGAGTTAAAAACCCTCAATTTTTATTATTTAATAATTATTTTTCCTTTGTTCTTACATGTTTATTCCCAAAGGGAACTTTTAATGACGCCACCAGCTACATGCTTATGAATTTGGCCTCGATTAAAGAACTAAACACACGCATACCCCGTTCGGTAGATCCATTGCAGTTTCGTGGAAGCTTTCACCTGAAAATGGACACCGACGAGCCATACGCCGAAGATCACTGGCAGTGGGTGAAGATTGGCGACGAGGTGATTTTCCGTGTAGTGGCACCCTGCACTCGCTGTATATTCCCGAATATAAATGCGGTGACAGCAGAGCGGGACCCCGATGGCGAACCGTTGAATACATTGAAGAAGTGAGTTGAAAATATACTCACAAAATGCATTTGATATATATATGTAAACATTTCGTTATGCATCTATTTAGGTATCGCTTGTTTGAAGGTTATAAATCGCCGGCACTTGGTATTCATCTGGGTTTACGCTTTGCAGCCACCATCAAGACGAACGCAGTTGTGTATGTAGAGGATAAGTCGTAAAATAAAGAAGAAGAGTTATCTTAAATCATTTTTAATTATTCTTATACCATTGCATACGAATTATTATTTGAATCAGATTTTTATTTTATCATTTCATATTTTTTTGCTCAAGAGAAATTATTATTATAAAATTTTTATTTTTTTCGCTCAGCGATAAAATAACGATTATTTATAAATTTTAAAAGGCCATACCCACGCAACCCGCTGAAACTTTATAAAACTTAAATATTAACTATTTTATTTTATTCTTTATTGGCTAATCTCGAAAAATATAAATCTTTAAAAATTATAAAAGAATGTATAAAGAAAAATATCTGGTTGCGATCGACAGTATTTTTTGGTTTTGTTAATTAAAATTGAAAAATAGTGACTGTTTTGCGGTCCTGGTACATATCAAGCATTGTTTTACTTGGCTGAGTTCAACATAGAACGGCAGGCGTTACATCTTCCTGCTAACTGGTGCCAATAAAAACATCACGTGAAGCCAACAGCCTCATCATGTATCTCGAAACGAGCGTTCGTCTTGTCTGCCACACGAATCGTTCGTCACTTGGTACTTTGTAATTCGTTTTCGTCTGGCAACACGAAAACAGCTGATCGTTACGTTGCTTTCGTCTAGTTTAGAATTTTCTAACACGAAAAGGAGACGAAAGAGCGAGGATAATCGTTAAAAACAAACGAAAGGTTATAAGTGTTCGTCGAGATGGATCGTTCAGCCGGAATAAGTAAACTCAGTGAAAAGTTTATAAATTTCAAACAAAATAAATGTAATCAATATAATAATAAAAAAATAATAATAAATGTTTTCACCAATTAAAAACCCACAACAACACAATTTGAGGTGATGATTCAAGAGATAGACCAAAATCCGGATCTGGCAAGAGGAGTACCAGTATTTGGTTCTGACAGAGTCAGGGTTCAGAAGCGATGGGACGGGATAATGGAAGAAGGAAAGCTTATACTTGGTAGCAAAAATCCTGAATATTCTAGTAACATAACCAAAAATACGATTTGTTTATTTTTCTTCAGACAGATGGGCTGACCTTATAAGCCGCACAAAAAGAAGATTGCGAACTATATTCGTAATATAAATATGACAGGTGGGGTCCCGTTCGGCATTTACGGCTGACGGAGACCGAAAAAACGATCGACCGCATCATTTCTATGTCGAAGGCCGAAGCGCCAAGTGGCGCAGCGCTTGGAAGTTCAAGGCTTTCGGCATCACAGGCAGCAGCGTCCACTTCTGATAATTCGTCAGCGACTGACATGTCAGTACTATTCGTTGTGCGTACAGCAACGATACGTAATTCAAGAGGCTAACCCTATTCGTATCATCCCAACGTTCGTTGACGCACTACTCGCCACTCCAGAGCCCACTAATTCCACCAGTATACCAGTATAAAGTTATAACTACACAAAAAATGTCTCAAATGAACGGCAAAAATAGTAAATAACATTTGACGGTGATGCCCATTTTCTATAAAGTGTACCAAATAAATTAAAAATAATAAAACTCTTAAGGAAATATACAAAAATACCTTCATATTTCATTTAGCAACGCTGTTCCAGACGAATACAACGTAATCGACGTAAAGTCTACACGAAGCAATCGCTCGACTTACAAAATTGTAAGCGGAGACGAATTCGCCTGCAGACGAATCGTTTGTGTCCCCTATCGTTCGAGATATATGATGAGGCTGCAAGTCTTTCTACACCTGGACCTTTCCAATGCAGGGCGTTTGCATCCATTCGTACGACATGGGCTAGCCCGCGGAACCGCTGTATTTTAATTTAGTTGAATACTAGATATAGTCATATGTCATTGTAAAGTTAATACAGCTCATGATTCCATTATTTTCGATACTTACAAATGTCTGAAGGCCTAAAAATCTTTTGTTGAATCTATATCTCGAACACTCCAAAGGCGTCTTCATCTGATAAGGAGGATATGGCGATAGATTTATAAAATGAGAGAGGAATTTCATGATCATTTGTCTACTCATTGTCATTCCAACGAAGCACTAGCAGGTAGACTCCGGAGGTTTATGCACAAATCGAAGCCTAAAAATATGTACCACATAACTAGAAACAAAATGTATACAAATTTATACGTTTTGATTATAGTTAGGAGTTAAATATTTTTAGGCATCGATCTGCATAAACATCCTCAGTCTACCAGAGAGAGATTCTTCATTGCATTTCAATTCTGATTCTCGGGTAGACGAAATCTACTAGGACTTCTAAATTATAGCTACCAACACTAACCTACATAATTGCCTAAATAAACGGCGCGATGGTTAAAGGCTATGATGTCGGCTTCATCGGAATACCCGGTGCAGCTATGAAGCTTTTTTAATCATATCCGACATCCGATTTAACAAATCAAACGATAAGAAGTCATTTTGTTATAAACTTCATTTGCTACCGACGATGGCTTGAAGATCGGCAAATAGATGATGTGTGTGGCTCCTGTCACAGGTCCTAATTAAATACCTGTTTTTAAATAGCCCAGCTGATAGACTATTGGCTTCGGCAGCTTTGTTATTTTTCATTTCATTTTCTTAAACTTCGTGATGATTTGTTAACGGAACATCACCTCCATAATGATTGATTGGTGAATACGGATCATGGTCATCTCTATAGTTGCCGTCACTGATACCATTCAGCAGGTTGGGCAAATGTTCCCTCAAGTTCTGAGCGTCAGTCACCAGTTTGTCGTTCTTGTTCTTAAAAGAATATGGCCAGTACCTTCCGTAAGTCGTTATTCTGGAGGATTTTCGTCTCTCCTCTAGAGATGCTACAATGATTTTTTATTTGTTGCCGAAATTTTTTCGGTCGTTTCGACGTGAAGACTGAATTTTCCGATTGTTTGACCACAGTTATCTTTCTTGTCCACCATGAAATCATGATCGCCTTGCACAATTTTTCATCCGAGGTCTGCTGAACTTTTCCACTGAACATCACGGATTATTGTTTTTTAACGTGGATCGCAATTTGGGAAATTAAAAAGGCTAGTTGTTTTAACAAATTTTTAACAAAATTATTTAGATATTACGGCATATACATACATATGTAAATATGTAGATTCCTTAAAATTTGATATTAGATATGTTTTTTGTTAATAATCTAGGCGAGGGCCATCGCGCAGAAGCTTGGAATGGCCGTACCCACATATATGTAATTGTATGTATTAACTTCCACTTTTTTTGTATCTACCTATATTGAACATAAATGGGATCACCAATATTTAGCATGCCACATTTATAAACATCAAAATAAACACCCATAGATGGTTCTTTTGGATTTTGGAGGAGGCGATATCTGAAAAATAATTTCTTTCATAAGTTTTATTTTCAAAGGCACTTGCTTCTTTTTTTCTTAGAACTTACTTCTTTAACGTTTTAAGCGGTTCAAAATTGGTATCCCGCGTATAATCCTCCACATTTATATTGACCACAATACATCGCAAACAATCGGAATTATACCTGATGATCGTCGAGCGTTCTGCGTCATTACCGAATTTCAGCCACAACCAACGGTCCTCATCATAAGGTGGTACATTTGGATTGCTATCGACTACCAGATTTCCGCGAAACTGTTGACAGTCGACACGTTTATTTTGGCCACTGAGACGCTCATTAAGGTCATGTAACGAACTTTCATGTATTACCATAACTGGAAAAATCCCCTAAAATAGTTATATGTATGTATGTATATAAATTATTTAGTGAATGCTTCGTCACTTTCAGTCTGAATTATTTATTTATTTATTGCCATTATGTTATACTCTCACCCCCGCTTCTCCCTTTTGAGGTAACAACTTTACATACAAACGCAATCCGTTCTCACGCCGCACTACGACACGCGAGAACCACTCATGGTGTTCGGCCTGACATTCAACTAAACGCTTGCCAATAGCATTTTTACATTTCTCAGGCGCTTTTAACGGCGCTCGCAACAACTCATTCAAGTCCACAATTAACGGCGGCATATTCGGTGCCTCCAGTCGCAGTACCTTGTCTCTCACGATCACCGAACGTATGCTCAGCATACGCGGATAGGAGCCAGCATACACCACCGCACCAGACTCCTCGTAGGCAACCAAGCAACGCTCCCACAAATCGTTCGAATGCACCCCGAACTCAGAGCATTCTACTTTTTCCAGACGTACGGGAGCACCACCTTTGACAGGATAGAAGTTGATGGCTTTTAGTGTACCAAGATATTGCCAATTATCGGCGTTGGGATGTCGTTTACTCCTGCGTAGGCGCATGCAGTATACCCACCAAAGAGTAACGCCACCCACCAAAGCGCCAATGCTAATGCGAAGCCAAGTGCTAATCTCCACCGAACGCATTTTTACACTGAGATGATGAAAAATTAACTGAGTAAAACAAACAAAATGAGTGCATATGACTTTGTATGTATGTATGTATGTATGTACATATGTACATTTGAAAGGTTCATTGAGCGCGTGAGCATTGACTTCGCTGTTGAGTATCATTGTTTCCATGGTTCACTTAAGTGCATACATATATGTGTGTGTGTACTGTATGTATATGGATATGTAAATATGATAAGACATATTTATTGACTGCAAAATTATTGCACAAAAAAAATTTTAAGGGGGGGTTAGGTTAAAATATTATATTAAGCTTTTAAGCTGCGAGTGAGGTATATGGAAGACGTCTTGCGCGTATGTATGTATGAAGGTATTTCCTTCAAATTTTATTTTCATTATTAAATTCTGAGAGTTAATTAATTTGGTACAAATTTGAGATCGGTAAGAAGTAACTTAGAATAAAATGTACACAAGTGGTGCTGGAGTCGAGATTCTTTGAGGTACAAGTACATACTCGATACTTTTCGTCCGATACAAAGTAAGTTTTAGGGATGTGCCGGATAGAAATTTTGCCGGATAACCGAATTTCGGATATCCTGTAAAAAATAAGAGCCGGATTCGGATATCCGGTAGACTGCTGTCCTTAATAAATTTGACAATATTTTTAGATTAGGTTTTTTCGTTTAGCTAGATTATCTGCTTTTTCGAGCTGAACTGTCCAGGAGCGTTTCTGTCCATTCGAACGACATGACCAAGCCAGCGGAGCCGCTGAATTTTAATTCGCTGCACTATGTCCATATCGTTGTAAAGCTCATGCAGCTCATCGTTAAATCGTCGCCGAATCGCCCCGTAAGGCTCCATTGTTGCGATATTTTGTGACACACGTTTCAAAACTCGTTCTCTTTTCTGACATCAATAAATCTAAAAACTGGATAGATGGTGAACTAAATAATTCAAAAATAAGTATAATTCTGTTAGCATGGAGAAGCCTGAAAGCTTCTATTGAGGAGCGAGAGCAGGATATTTGGCAATGCTTTGAGAAAATCGCCAACGGCTCTGATACTGATTCCAATTTTTGGATACCCAACCGTTGGAGAAATGGAGAAACATTTACAGCTACCCCATATACCCAGACAAGAAGATCCTTTAATTTGGTGGGATCATAGACGGCCGCTGTAGTGTAGCGGTTAGCAGTGCGTGCTACCATTCCGCAGGGCCTGGGTTCAAGCCCGGTTCAACCCAACATAAACAAGTAAGAAAGTCTAAGTTCGGGCGGAGCCGAACATTAAATACCCGGCGCAATTATTAAATATATGTTTTCCACCTTTCCGAAAGCTACCGCTGCACGATAAGCCGGGGTGTATAAATTTTAAGTAAATTAGCGTCCTTAAATTTCGAAATATTGCAGTTTCAAGCATTTGTGAAATATACCGTTATATGAAAAGCGGTCGTAATTTTAGTCCGATTTCAATAATTTTCAACGCTTTGCTTTTATGTGGCAAGCACAATAACCATACCGAGTTTGGTTCAAATTGCTAGAACGGTTAGCGAGATACATATATGTGATCATAAGTGGGCGGTGCCACGCCCATTTTCCAAAATTGTATCATAAGTGTATTTCTTGGTAAAAAATCGTTGCAACCATAAATTTTGAATAAATTAGCTTTAATACTAACTGATTTATCGAGGATTTCGTATTTTTCTAAATTGCCGTTATATGGGATGTGGGCGTGGTTATTGTCCGATTTTAAAAATCGGCCATTTGGTATGCTGTAGCAGGACCAACAATTGTGCCAAGTTTGGAAGAAATTGGTGCAGCGGTTACCAAGATATACACATGTAACCATAAGTAGGCGTGGCTACGCCCATTTGCCAAAATTTTTTAATATTCTTATTTTTCGTCTAAAACTCATTGTAAATATCAATTTTGAGTGAATTATCTTCAGTAGTTACTAAAATATCGCGCTTTTCGTATTTCTGAAAATTACCGTTATATGGGAGGTAGGCGTGGTTATTGTCCGATTTCGCCCATTTTCAATACCAATCCTATGCCCAAAAGAAGTCCATGCACCAAGTTTCGTTAAGATATCTCAATTTTTACTCGAGTTATCGTGTGCACAGACGGACGGACGGACGGACGGACAGACAGTCACCGCTTAATCGATTTCTCTTTTCATTCTGATCATTTATGTATACATTTGTCTATATCTATCTCGATTCGTTTTGCCTGTTACAAACAACCGTTATGTGAACAAAGTTATAATACCCTTGTGCACAAGTGCGCTCGGGTATAAAAAAGTTTTTTTTCCTAACAGCGGTCGCTCCTCGGCAGGGCAATGGCAAACCTGCGAGTGTATTTCTGCCATGACAACAGCTTCTCATAAAAATACAAGCGCCGTTCGGAGTCGGCGTAAAACTGTAGGTCCCGCCCCTTGTGTGACAACATTAATGCGCACGCCACAAATAATAATAAACTAAGCAATAAGTCTATCTTCTTCTATACATAGTATAAAGGAAAGTCGAGATTCTTCGTACGCGGTAGTCTCTAAAGCTACTGAACGGATTTTGACGAGATTTTCTCGAATATACTCTGTACTGACAGGTCCTGATAGGGTGACCTTTTTTACTTAGATTTTTAATAGGTTTGCCACCTGTCTAAGTATACAAGATACGCACCGTTCGTTGGATTACAAAAGATGAGGTGTCAAATGAAATCGATTGGTCTCTAGAAAGGCACCAATGTTTTTTTTTAATAGGGTTGCCACCTATTAATAAAATTACTATATTCAATCATAATAAGCGTAGGCATCAGTTCTGCACCATCACTGTAAAATGAAAAGACTTAGCCTCGACATGTGCAATAATGTATTATTTTTCTGAGTAGGGTTGCCACCTATTAAAAACTTAAAGGATTTTTGCCGTTCGTTGGATTGCAAAATGACATACCAGATGAAAGGGGCTGGCCTTCGCATGTACAATAGCTTTCGTTTTTTGAGTAGGGTTGCCACCTATTTAAAAATTACTATCTTCTATATATAGTATCAAGAAAAGTCGAGATATTTTGATCGCGCTAATCTCAAAAAATACTGAAAGTAAGTAGTAAGGATTACTAAAGTAAGTAGTAAGAATTAGACATGGATTAGGGGCATGAGACACTTAAGATTAGCAGGTTTTTTCTTTTTTTAACTGTGTCGTTATTGCAGAGGACCATCGATATGTAGCACTTTCCAAAAATCTCCACACACAGAATCGTCTGTATTGACATTGACGCTCGTTGCTCCTCCTGTAAAAAAGGATTATTTCAGTTCAACGTAGAATTCACCAAGGCCGCGAGTCCACTGCTAGACATTCGCGCTTTCTCATAAAGCCAAGTAACTGTTGAATACCAAATTCAATAGAAGGTCGACACAATCTTAAACGAGCGATAAATACAAAAATGCATCAGCAACGGCGCATGAGCATCTAAAGTCCACTTTGCTCCCCCGTAGTTCCGCCCACTAATTCGTTCTAAAAAAAACCACGAAAGTTGACATACATTTACATACATACAGATCGCTCATGTTTTGCAAAAGCGTATTAGTTAAAAATTTTGGTTTTTGATATACAAATTTTTACAGATCATACATATCGAGTGCTAACCACCAAAATAACGTATGCGACATTTTTTTCGAAATTTTATTTTTGATGCAGAAATGCATCTAGAGGCTCTAGGAATATTTTTGCATCAAAAATAAAATTTTGAAAAAAAAAGGTCGCTTACGTTATTTTGGCGGTTAAGGCTCGATATATATCCCTAACATATGTACATAATATCGAGCCCTAACCGCCGAAATAACGTAAGCGAAATTTTTTTCAAAATTTTCTTTCATATATATGTATTTATATATGTAGCTGTGTATGAATGCATATATCGCTACCTAAATGTGAAAAGGTGCCAAGTCCACATTTTTTTCAAAATTTACTTTTAGATGCAGAATGACAGATAATGCGTAACTACATCGATTTTTAGTATCTCCTGAATAATTACAAAAAATGGAATTGGCTCCTTTTCACCTCTAGGTAACGATATGCAAATACAACGGTATCTATTTATGTACACATTTGGATGCTTATAGATATACATACATATGTATTTGTAGCCTAACAAAGCATACATAAGGCAAGTACACGACTACTCTCAGTCGCTCATTGCGAACAGTGGAATTAAGATAGGGACGAAGTGTTTCGCAAATGTACTACCTATAAAAAAATTAGCTTTAACAAATCGTCAACTGATAAGAAAGTGCTACAGCGGATTACTAGTGCGAAATGTCCAGTAAATAAAACTGCGTTAAATCCCATAGGTT